AATAAAATATAGTTTTATAATATAGGATAAAATTTGGTAAATATGGTAAAATTTGGTCATTTTAAAATGGTGTATAGAATAAAAACCATATATTCGGTTAAATTTACTTTTGAGTTTTGTATTTTTTAGTAAATGGGCTAGAATAAGGAATATAATTTTGAAAACCAGAATTTCCCACAAACTGTTACTATTAGAACGGAAAAATTACCAAATGAATGATTTAAATATCGTATATTTTGGCTTCATTAACCAGAATTTTTTCACTCCATATAATAAGAAATACAAATTTATATCAGATACGTAAAATAGGGCAAATAGTACGAATAATAATAGTGCAAATAATAGTGGCCTCTGTATACGAATCACTATAAATGAAAAATATTCGATTTTACTTCGAAACACTTTCATTAGTATTATGTTTCTAACCGACATCAATTCTTGAGATTTATAATTAAGTTCATTTGAATTTTAAATTTCCCATGATTATTAATTAAGGTTTTAATAGCTCACTTTTAATTATGAAATAACTCCCATATTAATCACCGTTGATTTCCTTCGTTACCGAGTGTGAAAAAGAGACCAGAAATAATTCTGTCAATTAATTAATTTTTATAATAAGACAATGCACTTATGAGAATGAATATGATGCTATTCTAAGACTTGAATTGGGTTAGAAAGATTAATCAGGGTTGTAATAAATATTAATCACCGTTAATTTCCTTGGTTACCGAGTAATAAAAAGAGACCAAAAATAATTGTGTCAATTAGTTAATATTTATAATAAGACAATGCACTTATGGGAAGGAATATGATGCTATTCTAAGACTTGAATTGGGTTGGAAAGATTAATCAGGGTTGTAATAAATATTAATCACCGTTGATTTCCTTCGTTACCGAGTAATAAAAAGAGACCAGAAATAATTGTGTCAATTAATTAGTATTTATAATAAGACAATGCACTTATGGGAAGGAATATGATGCGATTCTAAGACTTGAATTGGGTTAGAAAGATTAATCACCGTTGTAATAAAAAGAGACCAGAAATAATTCTTTCAATTAATTATTATTTATAATAAAACAATGCACTTATGGGAAGGAATATGATGCAATTCTAAGACTTGATTTGGGTTAGAAAGATAAAAATATTTTTGATTTTCAAGCATTTAATATAGGAATTTGTACATTGGAATAAAATGAAAATTTAAAATTTAAGTTTAAAATATTATAAAATAAATAATGATAAAAAAATAGCCGAAATAGCTTTCTTTTATAAAAGCTGAAAAGATGAAATTAGATTTGTTTTAAAAGTTCTACTAGGAGGTAAAAAAAAAATAAGCTTGAAGTTTTTGATACGGAAAATATATCTTAATGTTAGGCTATTCGAAAAAGCGATTGATACCGTTCAAATAGCTCACAAGAGTACCAAACAATGGAAAGACAGTATCAAAACACACGAGAAATTGCCTTTTTTTGTGTATGTAGAAGGTGAAAAAAAAAGAACGTTTTGATTTATAACTGTCGAAGTCGTTTGCTGTAAGAAAAACGACACTTTCCTGTAGACGGCGTAACATTATTTTCCAAAGAAATAACACATAGAAATAGGTAAACGGGACTTTAAGTTTACGATATTTCTTAAGATATGCCCGGGTAAAAAAAAAAGAAAAAAAAAAGAAAATTCCTTTTTATTTTGCGTACCAAGTTTTTCAAAAAGGTGAGGAAGTCTTTGGAATATTCTTCTTCAAGAGAGAGGCAATGGCTCGCGTAAGATGTATGGTAAAGAACTATCGAGATTTCGGGCCATTTTTCTCTCAGCTCATACTCTTGGATAAATGTTCACAGATTAGTTTTTGATGTAGAGCTGAAGAAGGAAAAAAATTAATCGATATTCTAGAAAGAGAGAATAATCGATGAACGTCAAGAAACGCTCTGGAACACCTGCAGCCTACCCTAACGCAACTATCTCTGCAAGCAGGGGGATAGTTTGATTTTTTTCCCCTTATTCCATTTTACCATCTTTTTCTTCTTTCTCGTATGTTAAATTTTCTGTTCGCTAAAAAAGAAAAAAAAAACGATAGAAAAAAAATGGCAACAGATATCGGAAAGGCTATTTCTTAGATGAAGAATGAAAACTTCGAAGACAGCTTTAATAAAGTATTGGAATCGTACAAGAGAGCACATTGCTTCTTTGTGCGCAAATCTTTATTTAATCAACAACAGCGACAGCAGAAATTGGCGATATTGGTGAAAGTTACGAAAATAAGGATCGGAAAGTGAATTGTTGAGATTGCATAATGAAGACTTTTTTTTTTGGCGGCGCAGTTTTTTGCAGTTTTATGTTCTTTCAAAGAATTCGATAACTATTAAAATCTGAAGAAGAAAATAAAGATTTAGATCGAGAGAGGGATTATATACCACTTAAGTTAAAGTTTTTAAAGTATTAAAACACCTTAGAGGAGATTTTTTCGAAAGTTTGCTCAACAACAATTGATTGAAGTTTTTCAGCGGAGCTGAGCACGTAACAGCTGAGTGATGTTCTTCAAAGTTCTATTTGAGAGTCTCAAAAGTTTTTGACGTAATTTATTTTTCTTATCTTAGACTATTTCAGAAAAATTTGAATTATTAAAAAGAAGTTATCAAAATAGAGTCAACTGAGTCGACTAAAATATGCTGGATAAGAAGTGTTGTCAGAGCTGGACCATCGTGTAATATTGATGTTTTTATAAATATCGGTAAATTGAAATTCGGATATTTATCCTGAGCCAAATAAAACATACTAGATAAGATGTGTTGCTAGCTATCAAAACTGAATCATCAATGTATATTGTAATATCGATCGTTTTTTATATTCATTTAAATCTAAATATAGCCATATTCAGATAAGAATATTTATCTTGAAGCAGACATTCGATTAGACATTTGCCAGCCGTCAAAACTGAGTCATTTGTTTCTTATATAAATATCTTTTTTTAAATATAAATATCACCACATCCAGGTAAGGATATACTGTGAACCAAATAATACATACTAAATAAGACGTGTTGCGAATCATCAAAGTTGAGTCATCGATGTATTCTGTAACATCGATATTTTTTGAACAAACATCGCCATATTCAGATAATGATATCTATCTTGAGCTAGGTAATACATATTAGGTAATAGGAGCTACCAGCCATCATCAAAGTAGAGTCATCGATGTATCGTGGAGGATCTATCTTTTTTTATATAAATATCACCACATCCAGATAATACATATTAGATAAGACATGCTGCCAGCCATCAAAGCTGAGTCATCGATGTATTGTGTAATATCAATCTTCTTCTTTTTTAATATATATATTGCCACAACCAGATAAGGTTATATTGTGAGCCAAATAATACATACTAGATAAGACGTATTGCCAGCCATCAAAACTGAGTCATTGATGCATTGTGTAACATCCAGGATTAAAAAAAATAAATAAATAAATATCGCTATATCCAGTTAAGGATATATTGTTAGTCAGATTATACATACTAGATAAGAAATGCTGCCAGCCATTGGCGACACTTTGGCGGAAAGTGGTTGGCACGAATTTTGGTGTTCAAAGACACAAATTTTTTTAACAGTGTACTCGTTCGGTTATTATCATTACTTCTCACTAAAGTACGTACTATAAGTTTAATTATAAAAGTAATTACCTATATTTATAGGTGATAAAAGTAATCTAGTACAATTATTAATTATAAGACAACGAAATTTCTCATAAAATCTTCTATGTTCATTAGTTTGAATTCAAATAAACGAAATATTTTGAAAGTAACACTAATAGGTAATAGGTCAATAATTGACGTTTTATTTAAAAATAAAATATTCCATGGAAAATAAACACTAAAAACGGAAGTTTAAAAAAAATAATTAAGTTAATTATATTTAACATAATTAAGTTATTCCAAGTTATAGAAATTTTGACTACTAGATATAGAAATAAAAACAACTTGTTTACATGTTTATGAGAAAAAGACAACGAAATATGTCACTAACCCTCTATTTCCAGTTCATTGTCATCGAAATCAGCCATGGCCGGACAGATGCACTTGATGGGGCACGGAGGACACGTGTCTGATTTTACAGTAGTTGTGGAAACGATTGGAACTGTTGGCGACAATATTGGTCAACATAAAATGTCAATCGCTAAATTATATAATAACTTTTGTTCAAAAGTAAGAGAAGGAGNTGTGGAAGATCTATCTTTTTTTTAATATAAATATCACCACATCCAGATAATACATATTAGATAAGACAAGCTGCCAGCCATCAAAGCTAAATCATCGATGTATTGTGTAATATCAATCTTTTTCTTTTTATATAAATATCACCACAACCAGATAAGGTGAGCCAACTAATACATATTAGATAAGACGTATAGTCAGCCATCAAAGCTGAGTCATTGATGTATTGTGTAACATCCAGGATTTAAAAAAAAAAATAAAAAACAAATATCGCTATATCCAGTTAAGGATATATTGTGAGTCAAATAATACATGCTAGATAAGACGTTCTGCCAGCTATTGGCGATACTTTGGCGTAAAGTGGTTGTCACCAATTTTGGAGTTCAAATACATGAAATTTTTTAACAGTGTACTCGTCATTCCATTACCTCTCATAAAATTACTTATTGTAAGTTTAATTATAAAAGTAATTACCGATAATTATAGGAATAAAAGTACTCTAGCGCAATTATTAATTTAAAGACAACGAAATTTCTCATGAAATCTTCTATGTTCATTAGTTTGAATTCAAATAAACGAAACATTTTGTAAGTAGCTCTAACCTAACACTAATAGAAATTCAAATGTCAATAATTGACGTTTTATTTTTAAAAAAATTATTAGCTGAAAAGAAAAAAATACTAAAATCAGAAGTTTAAGAAAAAAAAATTAAGTTATTATATTCTACATAATTAAGTTATTCCATGTTATAGAAATTTTTACTACTAGAAATTAAAAAAAAAACTTGTTTACATGTTTATGAGAAAAAGACAACGAAATATGTCACTAACCCTCTATGTCCAGTTCATTGTCATCGAAATCAGCCATGGCCGGACAGATGCACTTGATGGGGCAAGGAGGACACGTGTCTGATTTTACAGTAGTTGTGGAAACGATTGGAACTGTTGGCGACAATATTGGTCAACATAAAATGTCAATCGCTAAATTATATAATAACTTTTGTTCAAAAGTAAGAGAAGGGAGAAGGAGTGTTAGTCACAAACGACACCATTGCTTGGCGAAACTAGACAAGAAGCCACAGAACTTGGAAGTTACAAGAACAGAGTTAGTAGATGAACCAGTTTAAGAAAAAGCATCCGGATTCTCAATTTTGTAACTGTATAGCTAAATGTTATGAATCCAACTTGATTTTTCAGGTAATTTTAAACAATTAAAAACTGTAGACATGGAATTAATATCCAAACTTTTTTGAACGGACAACAACAACGTAAAATAAGCTGACATTACAGGTTCTTTGTAACGGTTAAAACACAAGACACAAGAAGCTCTAATTGCAGACAATTTTAAACAGTTTAAAACAAGGCACATGAATATGGCATTTTAGATTAGTTTAAAAAGATTGAAGATGACGCAAGACATAGACTTTTCACACTATTTTAAACCATGAAAAAGTTAGATTTCTTGGATTGTTTCATCCAAATTTTACAACTATCAAGAAAACTGTTAAGCTATTTCTATGGAATGACTTTTTATTTATTCTGTAATTGAAATTACTCCTTTATTAAAATAACGCACTGTAATAAAGTAATATTTATATAGAATCTTAAGCAGCTTTAAAAGCTTACTATTCTTTAATGCTTTCAGAAACAAAACCGTCTCTATTTTGATTTAATAGAGTAAAAATAAATAATTACTAGTGAAATTAAGAAGATAATCAAACTATTGGTATAAAAATGTCAACTCTGTTTGTTAAAAATTTCAACTTCTGCAGATTGTGCTTACAAGAAGCAAAACTGCATTGTTTCTGATTTGTTTCTAAAACATGCTGACGAATTATAAAACTTTCACGCTCACTACAGCAAAAGAAAATGTTTTTAGAAAAGAAAAATTAATACAGAAACTTTTTAAAGCTTAGTAGCTAGTAGCATATTTAAATTAACAAGGTTAACGAACACATAAGGAAAGTAGTGCTTAATTAGTACTAAAGAAGGATTAGTGCATAAACTAAAAGTTAGAGGGTCAACCGGTTTTAAAAGTAAAGTGTATAAACCATGCAGAATTAACATAAGAAGTCCTGAGTGTTAGTAAGTGAATGAGTACAGTTACAGTTAAAGGAAAGGGGCAACTGTGTTTTTAAACACTCACCCGTCATCTCAGATGTAGATGGCTTTGGATCTGAAAAAGGCGGAAAAAATAGGGAGCAATTACTATTTAAGAGAAAAAATAGGTGGTGATTAGAGCTTTTTTCAAAAACCAAATGCTTTTAGTTTGAAATTTTCCTCATATTTTTTTCTCCTTATCATTATTTTGAAAATGTAATACCAAATTTATTTGAAATTATTTTTAGGGTAGTTTTTAGATAGTTCCCTCAGCACGAGATCTCTAATGACTAGTTAAACTGATTGCTTAGTTTCATGATTATGACTTTTGGATCATAATTACGATCGAAGTCATACGTACCTTTGGGTATAATACTGTAACTATCATTTATGTATTTTGCATTGTTTATAATAGGGGATGTATGCATGCTTAAAATTACAAAGAATATCTATAAAATACTAACTCTATTTGACTTTTCTATCATTACCAATAATGGATGTATTTTGGCCTTTAATTATGGAACCTGACTTAACTATTGTTGATAACAATGAGAACAAAACTATGTTAAAAAAATGATGAATCCTGATGAAAATAATACTGATATTTAATTCCTTAGGATTAAAGGTATAAAGTTTTAACTAAAAAAGGGTACCCGTTATTAAAAATTATGATGAAAATAATAGATGAATATCGTAATGCCATGAAATTTATTGTTTTTGAGATTAAATACTAATTAAATATGAGTATTTTTAGGTTTATAAGTAGGATAAAAAAATGAATAAATACACTGTAAAAAAGGGTATTTCAAAATTGAGCAAAGACGTGTCAAAAGAGTTCCTAAACAAATAATAGTCGAAATTTAGAAAACCCATGTATTCGAAATTGAAACAGCATATTCTTATTTTCGAGCAAAATGCTTAGTCTCAAAAGTGATGTGGAGGGAGAAACGTGTGAGAGAATTGTTCATTAGGCACCTGCAGGATTCGAACCAAGGACCGCTCGGTTCGTATTATGATGCTAGAAGCCACCACCGTTGCACATTCCTGTCCAGAGAGAGTTAGGGATCGTTATATAGTAACCTCCGCAATGACACATCATGACATACTAATTTCCAATTTGAATGATACAAAGAGTTGCAATCGTTTTCTACCGATAGGAATCAAGCCAAGGACATCTGGGTTCACATTAGAATGCTCTAACCACCATATCAATACCACCAAGTCCAGGGAGAGTTAGGAAGCTTTAAATTTTCCATTCGATTAAAATTTTTTAAGATGTAGTGAAATAAGCAAAAATGGAAATTAAAATTATCGATCTCTTGACTAAGTTTTGGGGTCATATTTTTCCAATTGCAACACTTTATCTTTATACCATTGAAATTGGAAATTATGTCCTGATGTCTTACTCTCTTTGCTGGGTTGTAGAATTATGTTGGTTAGAGTATCCTACGGGCCGGGGGACAGCCTGGTCGGTAGGGCACTGGGCCCATGTCCAAGAGTTCGTGGGTTCGAACCCCGCCGGCCGAAGACTCCCCGTGTAGTAAAGTGACTGATGCACGTTAAATCTGTCGAGTCGCAAAAGTCATCCATGTTCCCATACCAAATCAATACCTCTAGGGTACTGGATTGGAGATCGATCGTTCTCTGATTCAGGTCAAAATTACGATCTGTGGATGAATGAATGGATGTATGAATGGATCCGCCCTATAAACGGGTGCGACGTACGGTGTGGCAGAAGTCGAATTCTTGGCCATAGATGGCGCCACTGGAAAACATCCTACTTCGAACCCGGAGTTTTTTTGTTTCGAATCCTGCTAGTAGTCAACGAACATCTCACACATTTCTCCCTTCACAACACTTCTGAGAACACATTTCTCCCTTCACAACACTTCTGAGACTATGCATTTTGCTTAATATATGCTGTTTCGATTTTGAATGTATGGGGTTTTCATAATCTAATATTATTTACTACGGAGCTATTTTGGCGAATTTTTGTTAAATTTTGAGAAACCCCTTTTACAGTGCGAAAATAATAAATGTTTGATTTTAAGAGCACTTGCACTACTGACAAAAATGTGTGATTCATGTTAACAATATGTTAAGGGGAAATATATGTTTAGTAACTAAACTATATCTTGAACTTTAAAAACTGAAAAACTCTACATGCATAACAAACAATAACAGGTTGTATAAGGCTGCGTAACATTTAAAAATATATTTTTAAAAAAAATTGATAAAATATGATATTTAAGATTTGATATGAAGGGGGTGCAAATGCATACAAGAACAAACTAGAAACAAGCAAAAATACAGAACAATTATAGATAATTCATGCATTTTAGATAAATCAATTATTTCTAAAGACATAACAAAAGAACATATCTTTATACAATAAAATCTAAAATTGTATGAATTTTAAAAATAATTAAATATTTTGTCATGATTTGTTTCATAAATAAGCACTAAAAGCAGCTTGTGAAATAATATATAGGTATATGAGAAAACTTAAGCATAGCAGTTTAAAAAGCATAAAAATTAGTAATTATAAGAAAAGAAAACATCCCACTTTCCGAAGTACTAAAATTTTAAGACAAATTTTATTAGTCAATTTAAAATAAGTGATTAGCTTGCACAAAGAAAAAAAATGTAGTATTCTGTTTTGAAACATTGTGAGGTTTCTTAGTTGTGAATAATAATATCAAAGACGAAATTAATTTAGCGCAATTTTTTCTAATTTTTTAAAACTTATGATTATCATTTTTTATGTACTCTGTCTTTACGATCGATTTAAAGGCTCATAAATGCACATAGTTGAGATCAGTAGATAAATGACATTTGTGACATTTATGACATATGTGACATTTTAGTGAATTCAATGAAGTATTATTAACCCTTTTACACAGTGGGGATAGCAGTGCCCCTAAGATATATTTTTCCCCCTGGCACTCTAACTACAAGTAAAATTGCATTTTAGTATTTTTTTAATTGTAAAAAACAGTGTAATAATTATTTAAAAAAATTTTTTAAATTGTAGGAATTATATTTGTACTATAATATAAAATCCAAAATAGTAGTAGGAAATTTTTTTTCTCATTCTTTTTCAAAAAAGTTATCAATAATTGATTTTGTCAATTAAAAAAATTTTAATGATGAATAACTCTCTAAATAACTGTGCATAATTGAAAAAATATTGTTTGGAAGTTAACCGCGTTTGGAATATTTTAACTTTAACGTACATAAAAGATACTGGTGTTTAATGCTGTATTTAATAACCATAAATTATTTAAATGCTAAATATAATATTTTTCATTTTTACCTAAATTAATCAGAATAATGAAAAAAGTATGAAAAATATTTTTAATAATAATTTAGAGCCAAAGGGTTAAAGTTCATACATTTATAGTTTTTATAGTGTTTGAAGAAATAAAGGCTATGTCTTGCTTTCGTTTCTTGTTCATAAATTTCTAATAATTGAATTCTATGAAATTCCTAACATATTTTTATTTGATTACTCTTGGTGTTTTACTATGCAGCCAAAAAAGAAATTTTATTATTATTCTTTTTTTATATTTTTTTTTATGACTGCAATCAGCTTATTGCCTAATGTATTTAAAACCTTCGTAACCTCGAAAGTACTCACAGACTTAATACTTCCTCCACTGAAGATATCCGATATTTAATAACTTGACTAAAGAAGTCCAATATTGTCTGGTTAAAAAAAGTCGAATATTTCTCCCAAGAAATCTCAATTTTTTTTAAGAATATCACTGTGAATCTAACTACATTATCCTTTTCCTTTTTACACAAAACCCTTTCATTGTTATTGGTGGCAACGAAGTACAGCTCAAAATACAGCTTAACACAGCTCTAATAATAAACTCTCAAAACTCGGTGAACTTAACACAGCTCTCACCACAAGAACACTTAAAATCCAGTGAGCTCAATACACCTCTCCCAGTCTTTCGCAAATACGGCAACTTGTGGTATCCGTTCATCGAATTCTATTCCCGATTGAATTCCGGTGGGAGAGCATCGTGGTGTAACTACCACTATTTTTATTAAACATCAATTCACTAGTATATAAGACCTGCTAACTCACGTTAGTCTTGGGGTACCTTGTAAGAGATGAAGGTTGGCATTGTCGAAATCACTCTCCACATTGGTGACCCGGACGTAATATATAGCATACCATACAAAGAAGCCAAATATATAAAAATCTCAATTTTGAATTTCTTGTTCTTTTAGTTGATTTTTCAATTGCACGACAGAATACTTTTCTTTATTCGAATCTTGGAAAATTTGAATTTTTTATCCTGTACTTTGAATTCCATGTATTAAGAGCTTGCTTTATTTAACACAATGTATTACAGAGAAAAAGGACTGCTTAGTTGTCTCTTTAAAAAATATATATGTACGGCACTGAAGAATTTTCTAGTCGTTTTGAGCCATTTGAGTCATCTTATATTTAAGATGTTTGCATAAAGTGTTTCCGGGGGATGTACTCCTGTAGCAGGCGATTTTTAAGGCGTCTTTACCGTCACTGTCCAAGAGATATTATACAGTTTTACACATTACCATTTATTTTTTCCCGTTCATCCCCCTTCCTTAAGGAATATAAAACGCATTCTTCCCTTTTGTGTTTGATTCAATTTTGTTTTTCCCTACACATTTTTATCTCTAGAGGGAAGTATAAAAAATCTCGGGGAAGTAGGCATAAACACGAATCTAGAAAGATGGAGAAATAGGGGAAAGAATCTCATTTTCCCTTGTCTCTTCCCTACTCTTACCCCATCAAAAAATGGATAAAAATCCGGAAAAGATGGCCTCAAAGAAAAAGAGTATAAAAGACGTTCATGAGGAAAAAGGAAAGCGTTTTTACGAGTCCGCGGTGATGCTTAACGCGGTTCAACGCTGCATATCAACAAGGATCGCAGAAACCTGTTGGTTCCTGTTATTTTTTTTTTCTCTTTCGAAATGATCCTCTTTTCTTTTAAGTTGCTTTCTCTTTGCATTTAAACTTGAAAAAAGAAAACTTCTCCCAACCGATCAATGGCAATTTTTTTTCAAAACCATCGA